TTGGCCTGCTGTGTTCATCCAGCTCTACACCTTGTTATCTCAGATTCTCCAGCATCTGCAGTTCCTACTATCTCCACCCATCTACCTGTCCAAATATTTCTTAGTTGGCAATATTGACCTAACTTCCACCGCTACCTCTGGCATTCTGAATCTTATACTTGACTTGTCCTGAGTCATATGTCTGAAGGTCAACCACAGAGTGTAGAAGATCACGGAGACAAATGACTTTAGGAGAAGTGACGTTTAAGTTTAAGGATTCCAGGTGCAGGTAAATATTTCTCAATATTATTTGGATGAGACATTAAACTGAGACCACCATCTTTTGTAGCTGCAGATACCAGGCCCTCACCACCCTCTACGTAAAAAAACTCGTCTGCGATTAAAATGTAATAATCGTTTTCGTGTGTGCTTGATTCACATGCTTTCTTACGCGAATAATGAAACGTGGTTCACCGTGTGACGTGGTTTATTAGAAAGGGACATTCCAGTATCGACAAAAGAGGATGCAATCGATTTTGCACAAGGGCCCAGCATATACCTCAGCTTTGTCCCTCAGCATTCTGGCATAGATCCTATCAGGTTCTGCACCAGGTTAAACCTGATATTCCCAGACCAGTGTGGGGGTTGAAACAACACCAGGAATGCCAATGCCAGACTCAAGACTACTCTAAGGGATAGAGACAGTTTACTTCAGAGGACGAAGTTTTGGGCCAGAACCACGGAAACAGCCTTGCATGGGTAAGAGTCACAGTCGATGTGAAGTCAAGTCCAGTGACTTACAAAATCTGGGTAGGTGACGCGGTCCAGAACAAATATGTGGATCACATGAAAGCTGCTACCTCGCAAACGGGGCAGGAGCAAAACAAACCCAGCCGCTCGGAACAGCCAGAAGGCCTGTCAGAAATCGTGGGTTCTCCCTCTCCATCTAACGTCAAAGAAATCTCACAGTTCAAGATGGATGTAGTCCGAGTCTACGCCAATTCAACGCAGGTCAGATTAAAAATCCAGCATTAGTGTCAGGAACCACCTCAGGTTTCCATGGAGTCGGGATTGAGGCACAGAGGGTTTTCTGCTGAAATCTAATGTCACTGCATGATTCCAACAGCATATCTTTTGCTTCAGGATAATTGAGCCCAGTTCGGGCCTCTGCATCATCCCGAGTTTGTCTCTGTTGAGGTTAAAGTCATGTGACATCACCGTCTGTAGGTGGTACTGCATACTGGACGATTATCAAGAATTCAAAATACTGTCCAGCACTGAGCAAAATTGCCGTAAATATTAACAGAAAGACGGAGTACGGACGGGGTTGGGAAATAACTGTGTCTGGGGAAAAAAAACATGTGACCACTTTACGATAAAGCCTAAATTAAAACAACAAACAGTGCAAATCTGAAACAAACGACAGACCCTGAAGAAGGGTCACCGGACCTGAAACGTTAACTTTGTTTTCTCGCCACAGGTATTGCCAGACCTGCTGCGTTTCCCCAACAATTTCTGTTTACTTTCCGTATAACGTTTCTTTAAACTGCGACAAACGTTGATTACCTCGCAGATATGGGACAGAGCGCACGTGTAAGGATTGGAAAAGTACAAAAACGTTCCTTTCTTTCTGAAACATAAAAAGGCGCACGGGTTAATGCATGAGCATTTCGTAAAAGCTGTACTACTACAGTGAAGGATACTGCAGCGTGAAGGGGATACATGGGGGTGATGAGATGTTACATCTGAAGAATGGATGAAGGCTCCCGAAAGGGGGATGTGGTGAGGTGTATGGAGATTGCTGGCTATGTTCATTCAGAGTGTGCCTGTTTGTGTGTGTATGTGAGAGAGAGAGAGAGAGAGAGAGTGAGTGAGAGAGAGAGAGAGAGAGAGTCAGGGGACCTCCAGGCGCAGTCAATGTTTGGAACAAATTGCAGCAGATGGTAGAATCAGTACTGAAAACAAAAAAAAAAATGCTGGAGATCACAGCAGGTCAGGCATGGTCCCTGGAGAGGGAGCAAGCTAATGATAACTCTTCATCAGAGCTGGTGATTCTACCCGTCCAACTAGAAAGAACAGAGGGTTCAACTGGAGTGGGGGGAGGGGAGAGAGAACGGGGTGACAGAGAATATAATAAATAAAGCAAAAGAAAAGGGAAGGAAAGGAAGTGGGTTCACGATCCGAAGGTGTTGAACTCAATATTGAGTGCAGAAGGCTGTAAAGTGCCTAGTCTGAAGATGAGATGTTGTTCCTCCAGTGTGCGCTGTGATCCGTTGGAACATTGCAGCATGCCCATGACAGACTAGCGGGCACGTGAGCAGGATGCTGTGTTAAAATGACCGGCTGTGGGAAGGTCACGGTCATTCTTGTGGATGGAGTGAAGGTGCTCTGCAAAGTGGTCACCCAGACTGCGTTTGGTTTCTCAGTCGATGTTTGTCCCGGTGTGCATCCTGGAGAACAGAGCACAGAGTGCAGAATCCCAAATCACGGACATATGCTCAGGACTAAACTCAATAAAAACCATGCATCTTTCTCCAGACTTCCTTTACAAAGGCACATTCCACGAGGAGACGTGTGACAGTCTCTAGACCCCACACCCCCACAGCTGCTTTGAGGGCAGCGTGCG